TGGGTAGTAGAAGAATAATCTTTTAATCAAAACAGAATATATGCGATCCGGATCTGCAGCAGCCTTACTCCTCAAACCCAGTATAATAATCTTAACTTCATTATATGTGAATAGTGAGTCATTCTCACTACATTTCATCTTCAAACATATGTATATCTTCTGGTTCACCCAAATCAAACACCTCTTTAGCAGGTACAGTATTAATATCTTGTTCATCACCCATACCTTCGGATCTTTTCACCTTCAGCAGTAAATTTCGCTTTCCAATTGCCGTCTTATGAGGACCATCGTAATAAGCAACGCTTCTTAAAAAATAATTAGCTTTACATACTCTCTTGGTCTTCCTAATCAAATGTTTATAAATAGCCAATTCTCTTTTATACTATATCTTAGAAAGTTTAGTATATCATCTAATCCAATTACCTGTGAGCTTCTCCTATATGCACGGATACGTTTTAAACTTTTCCAATTCGGGCCATGAGATTATATTTCGAGCCTTCCCATAACGGAGCGCAATCTATTCTGCCTGAAGCAACATCCAAAAACGTTTAACCAATCAATTTTCACGGTCACTTAAACACTATTCTCTCACCAAGCTCATCATATCGATTAAGTTTTACAGAGCCCTTTAGAAATTCTCGACCAAGACCCCTCCATGTAAACAAGAATCTGTCATTCGAAGACTATATCGATGAGCTCAGAACTTCAGATGATTTCAAGTGTTCATAGTTACGCCCGGTGCGGGATCCCATAACAAATCTGTCCACTAATCCGCAGCAGAATTAAAGGGCAAGAAAGTCATTAAACAATTAAATCATTGATACAATAAAATCAAATATCAGCGTTCCTCTTAATCAACCAGTTGCCCCCCCCCAGCGAAAGCTGGTTTAAAATCCTAATAAAAACCTTTTTATAGTTAAAATATTTCAGTTTAGGGAGTTCACAGCACATCCCGCAGGAGAGAAGTTACCGATATGAATTCAACGCGCGGCTCGCATAAGAATACTGTTATTTCATCCATTCATAATAACTATAAAATCAATTTCCTCTTTTAAAATAACAATTGCAGTTCGCCTCCAGCTCCAGCTGCAACTCGCCAACATTTTAAGAATGCCAGTTTCATTAGTTTAGAGGACGGAGGACGCGAGCACCAACCCAATAGGGCTCCTACAGTAAGATCAGATCAGGACTAAACCATAACATTTGGAGAACAGAGAGCTTTTAGCAGCTAAGGCACAGTGGCTTAGGTTGCTACGAAAATAAAAATATAAATAAATTATATAATAATATCAGTGAAAAAAAACAATATACAATAAACGAAAATAAGTGATAAATCTAATTATAATATACTACCCAAGAACATGCTAAAATTCATAAAAAGAGTAGTATATAGTTTTCTTTAAAATTCTTTAAACTTAAGTCTATGGTCTATAAATTCAATTTTCCCTTAAAGAGGACAGCGGATCAAAACACTGTGATCATGTTTTAATTCATATCATACTTCTATGAAGAAACACAGAGAACACATTTCCTACCTTTACCTTTACTCTTACAAACAGTCGCAAGATGATTTAAAGCCCATAACAATTAAAGGTTGCAATTAAGAATCTCTTAAAGTGACCGTATGCCAAGCATTGTGTACACTGTTTTGGTCTCAAAAATAATCTCGCAGAAGAAGTACGCCATCCAATTGCCAGACTCTGCTCTTCCAATATTTCCCTTTGGCAAACAAAATCAACAGGAAAAAAAAAAAAAAAACGATGGAGTGTCTTACCCAGTCTTTCGTAGGAATATCAAACAAATAATCTAGCACATTAGGCATTCCATACACAGTTACGTTTCAAGACATCTATTAAGTCTATTAAGCTCTTCATTATTAGAGGTCTCCCAAACACCATAGACAATAATTTTTGGTTTAATAAATTTACGCCTCCTTGGTTTAATATACTTCCTCAAATTTTCTTTTTCTTTAATAGCACTTTCAAACCTAACAACTTCATTTTTACTATCTAGTTTCAACAAAAAATCTCCATTTTCTCTTCTAATGGACCTTTTAATCTTAACTTTGATAAATGTTGTATCAAAATTTTACAACATTCCAAATACGACCCAGCGTCACGCTGGAATTTGCCGCCCTCAGAAGTTGCCGCTCGGAGCACAGACCCCCGGCTTGCCCCCCCCAGATCCGGGATTGAATATCTCCAATAATATATGTCATCCCATTAACCAGAAAGTACCGTATTTTATTTAATTGGCAAAAACATGTGTAAATTTTCCTATTTCAAATCGCTAATGAACAGTGTATGATCCATATTTAAAATAAATTGATAAACAGTGCATGATCCATATTTAAAATAAATTGATAAACAGTGTATGATCCATATTTAAAATAAATTGATAAACAGTGTATGATCCATATATAAAATAAATTGATAAACAGTGTATGATCCATATTTAAGAATAAATCAATAAACAGTGTATGATTCATATTTAAGAATAAATTAATAAACATTATATGATTCATATTTAACAATAAATTAACTTACTTAAGTAAACATTTGGTATTATATGGGAGATTTATAGCTATTAAAAGTTTATTTCTGTTGCTTTTAAATCTACCTATCCCCACAAAGAAGTTTGTAGCATGGAGCAAAAGTGAAGTTGTGCATTGTAATTATTCATTTAATTATATGTGCCTAAATTATAGTTTTCCCCCATTACACTAACAAACGGTGAAATATCAGTCATGGAATATTGTTTAGGATTAATAGTGTTAAGAATCTCAAAAGATTATTGCACAGAGTTCCAGTTTAAAATTTCTTTTTATTGCTAAACAAATTTCGCAAAATAAAAAATGTTGTGTTGACAGTTTTTACATAAGCCAATCATCATAAATGAAAGTATTCAATTATTTCAATTCAGCACAATTTTTACACCACATTGCTCTGAATTACTCTCCATGGAAAATAAATTTACACATTTGGTTAAATCTTCTGTTTTAGGAATTTGGACCGTGAGATCTACTGTGTTTTGAAAACTGAAAAAAAAAAGAGGGGGCAAAATCGAATATCATTAATAAAATACAAAGAAGCAAAAAAAAAATTATCAGAAATATTGAATATATGAAACATAAGTACAATCAACATTTGATTATCGAGGAAGGAAAAACTTAAATTTATCCCAGAAAAGTCGATGTCATTAGCATCAGCATAAAATAAAATTATCTGCGGAAACTTACATTATTAGATACAGTAATTAACATACATAACTCTATGGAAAATACAAAAGGAAATGAAAAAGTGCACAGGGTTTAACAGCGAGGATAGAAGATTGCATTATAGTATTGAAGACCCCTCCCTACTACTGTACGTATGTCTCAAACCTAAAAGATGACACTGCTTAAATCAAGACGCAAGACGGTGTTTACTTGCCTTAGGCTTGGAGACGCGTTATTATGACGCAGTATTGGCTACGTCTCTTTCTAGAAACAAGTTGTAGTTATGTTATAACTTCATATTTGAAGAAAATTTAAATAATATTTTAAGTCGGTTGAAAATGCTAGATTTAAAATGTTACTGTGCGAGACTTTCTTATTATAAACCTACTTTATTTTATGTTCTATATTGTTAGCATTTAACACAACGAGTTAGCGCTCAAAAGAGCATTATTAAGCTTTACGAAAAGACTGGAAATTTTGAATGTATCATTTAAAATTTATAATCGTAACTGCTCAAGATACAGAAAAAAAAAATATACTCTGCCATAAATGTTCGCAGCATGAAGTTCCCTTTTGACAGTTTTTGTTGAAATGGGGTCCTGAAGATGACTGTTCATTTCGGATGTTATCTCGGATAACAATTGCTTGTGCTTTCGCTCTACTATGCGCTTCAAGACCCGTCTATCCCTATCAGCCAGCTTTGACTTTCGGCCAGTGTTGTGCTTTGAAGACGTTGTCTTACCCTCTTTCGTGTAGGCTGTTATAACGGCTGATACCATACTCCTTGCAGACCTAGCTTATATAGGGTCATAGGGCAAACTTTGTTTTGCACGGTGGACCGACCGGATTTGCGCCCTAAGCTCATATATTCACTCCCTGCACACCCCACAAGGTTTGCTGTTTCCGTAACCGATGCTTCACTTAAACGCGTTCCAAGCATCATTTCTCTTTGGAACTCTGACAGGTCTGACATTTCAACTTCTCACAGACAGTTCGATCGAAGCATGCAACGCAGGTGACTGCTGTTGAGAGACTGATACCTTCCTCTTCACGCTCACTAGATGGCAGACTTCTGTTGCAGATGGCGCGGCTGTAAAATACATCATACTTTTTTATAGGTATTCGCATTATTTTGTCCTCCATCTGTATTTTGCATTTGTTTTACAAACTATGCTACTATTTAGACAAAACATTGATAATAATCGTGTTATGAGAGTGATCCAGTTCTACGTGAAATGCTCTTTTACTATCTAAAGAAAATCTTAGTATTATCAACCGTCAATAAAATATCAATCTAAAACTATTATCAGTATGGTCATAGTCATTTTGTGGAATTTTACTTGATGCGGAATTGGTAATTAGTCTAATAACCCCAACAGACGTGAAGCGAAATTATCGCTATGTGTAAAGTAACTACAAGTTGTGAGAAGGTTTTAAATAACTTTTTTATTTAAACAGAATTTAGACTACAAATGCATTTTCTTGTGCTAATAGTATCAGCTACAGTTCTTGGTGACGCAACTAAACAGAACAGTCAAATTTAAGTAAAACGTGGAAGTGTAACCAAAGCCTACACAATTTAATATTACTCAAAGCTGGCTCATTAATTCTACCAAGGAGTCAAAACTAGCATGTTAGCAGCGATATAACGCAAAGTCGAATAATTACAACTATCAGAGCTGGCAGGAACTAACGTGCACGCGCAGCCAGATACACGTTCTGTCTTAAACTCCAGAAACCTCAATTTAAATGCTGGCTACCTCATTTGCATTCTGGTGAGGTAGGCCCAAAGGAGAAATTTAAGTAGAGATCCAAATCATAATAACTGGTTAGTTTAAAATAATAACCTTCCAACTTCATTTTCGCAGATTAATTCCTGCCTAAAATATTTCCTCGCGTTACTTGTAATTGTGTAACCATGTGTAATTAAATAATGTGACCATGCAGCTTTGTAATTGTTATTCCTATTGGTTTTAGCCATATTAAATCATTTTTGCTGTTTTACATAGAATAATATCCTTCCCTTAAAAAAAGGGCAAAAATATAAAAGTCTCCAATTGCTAAGAAAAAATTTTAAAAATTTTCTAAAACCTCATAAAACTTTTTGAATGGGAATGATACAATATGAGCTCCTTTTCTTCTATGATTACTTGCAAAATATAAATGATACACTGATCGAAAGGATATCAAATTACATATACAAACATAGGCAATATAGTATAATTTTACTTACTGATTTTTTACTTTCCGCTAGACAAAAAGTACAGATATATCTCTGGCCAGTAAAGTCCATATTTTCCTTTAATCTATAACTGTATCTTTGACATACTTGACCACCATAATCGCCATCCGCTCTGGCTCGTATAAGTGTCGCCAAGTGATCAATATAGGAAGAAGCCAATCGTAAAGTTTCAATTTTTGATAATTTCCGGTCCTTCGGTTCTGTTGGTATATGCGTCCTGAGGATTGAGAAAGCCACATTAACACTGGAATTACGATTGCGTTCTCTGGCATTGGCAACATGCCGCTGGAGCATCATAGATATGGATTCGAAATGAGGAAATTCACTAGCATCATCTTCACTAGTGTCTTCAGATTTTATCTAAAAGGAAAGGAAAAAATTCGAATATTTGTTTTAGTATTAAGATTTTATGTGATTTTCAATAAGCATCTAAAATTTTAGGAATCCAACATATGTCTCATTTATCCTGGCCTCTTTGTTGCGATATCTAAGCTCGATTTTTCTTGACATATGAAAAGCATGCAAAATTTAAAAAATTACAATATTCTACAGCGTTATCAGTCAGCATTAACAGAAAGTAAAAATTTTTTCCTAATTTGGTAGTTTGAAGATATTTGATGTTATATTATACAAAATTGAATATGAATTTATTAGAAAAAAATGCATAATAAATAAAATCAGATACTTTTTTTTTATTATTATTATTTTTTATTTAGATAGGGATTTAATGGAACGAAATAATCGAAATCTCCCAGACACTTCTTTGTCTTCATATCAAATGATGCATCATGCTATGAAAGTGTTTTTCGTCAGGGATACGTTGACAAAGCTGCAAGTTTTTCATACCTGGGCATCAGCACGTCTCTAATGGAGGATACTTGCATCAGTATTTCATTCGTATATAAGCCAAAGACATTTTTAGCTTACGTGATGGAAGTATTCCTAGCGAAGGATACTTCCGTCGCATCATGGGCGGAAATATCCTCCACCCGGTTTATACTGATACAGATTTGCATGACTCGAAACTTGTTGCACTGGTTTTTGAGTTTTATTGATATCATAAAGCAACTAAACGGCTGAGAACTGCAACATAACTGGAAAGGCGTTATGTAGAACAAAGGGAATGTTTAGAGACAGCATACTTTCCAAAAATCTTTGGCCAGGAGCTGTGCATTTTGGAAGTGATTTTGAGAAGTTATCAAAGATAGAAAAAGGATTTGTAAATGAAATCGAAAACACTGAAAGGTGAAACATCACGCCCAGGTACTAGAAACATGCATTACAATATGTCTGGCAGAATATAAATTCCAGTTATAGATAATATAAATTCCAGTTATATAAATTATATTTAAATATAATTATATAAATTCCAGTTATATATTCATTGTCTGATGTGACGCATATATTTTAAATAAGATAATAACATTTTCAGACGTTCTAGACGATTTATTTCTATCTATATCAAACTATTTCGGTTTATCTGATTTAGGAACCAAGAATTCTTAAATCTCCTTAAAGCCAGATTTTCAGTATAAAAATCGTAGTTTAAAATATTCCAAAAAAAAAAAAAAAAAAAAAAACGTAAGCTTTCAGATTTTATATTACTCCCAAAAGGGCGTTTTGTTAACGTATAGTGTAATACCTTTATTTATTAAATATCATGTTCTTCTGGCTTAAACCATAAAATTCAATTCAACAGCAATATCACAAAATAATTTTAAAATGAGCATATCTTTAGAATCTCCGATACACAGTCTTGCGCTCCGAAGATAAAAATATAATTTTTTTTTTTTTCGTACAGTGTTACCATTGCTCACTTTGAAATCGTTGAGTTTCTTAATCAAAAATGCTTTAATATCTGACAAAATATGAAATCGATAATAAAACAAATTTCATATTTCAAAATAAGGGCTTCCAGATACCCATATTCGGTGGAGGATTACGTTATTCAAAATTGGATGGCTTTAGATACTGTTGTTTTATCTCATTGTGAGAAACATATATACATTTATGCAGATTCTTCATTATTTAATTTCTTGAAATATAAAACAGGGCGATAATATTTGGTGGCAACAATCTGAAAAGTGAAATGGACATTTAAAGTTTTCGACGCAAAACGCCGAAACGAAATTAAAAACCCTTCTGAGATTTAAAAAAAAAAAAAAAAAAAAAAAAAAAAAACTTCTGAATAAGTTAAAGTAATATGTGAAAGCAATGTAAACTAACACAGTAAATATATGAAACATATATGAAGCAGAACATAAATACAGTGTGATTCATAAAGAGGTATGCACTTTCCAAATGCTATAAAACAGTAACAGTCAAAGACACGCACTGCCTCAGCTAACCGCAAGGTCGATGTACTCTTACAGTTTTGTGTCTTGCCCCTGGTGAAAAGGGACGTAGGCAGTAGCGTGCTTATCATGTGACCAGTTAATCAAAATGGCGGTGTCTGCGGTGTATAAGGCTTTTTGTCTTCTTGAATTTAGCAAAACGGAATCCGCAATGCTGTGCAACAGCACTTTTAATCACTATTCGGAAAAGGACCTCCACCTAGAAAATTTATCTATCAATGAGTTTTTTAAATTTTATCAATGAATGAAAAATTTAAAACTACGATCTGTTTATGTTAAAGTCTTGGACTACCGACTGCATCGCAAGAAGTCGCCGATAGAGTTTGCACCGTGATTCAACGAAGGTTGGTAAAATCACGTAGAGGGTGAGCCGTGAAGTGCAGATTTTTCAGTTCATTTTCTGGAGAATTTTGAGAAATAAGCTGAAAATGATTTCATACAGAGTGCAGGTGTTGCAAAATCTGACTGACTCTGACAAACAAAAGCGCTTTAAATTTTCTGCCGATATGCAGCTTCGTTTTGAAAATAACGATTTTGCCGAACGCTTAGTTTTCACCGATGAAGCAACATTACACGTCAGTGAGAAGGTAAACAAACATAGTGTTCACTTTTTGGGAACAGAAGAATCCCAAATTCAGAGTACAACAGGTGCAAGATTCCCCTAAGGTAAATGTGTTCTATGCAGTGTTCAGATAGAAAGTATGCGACCCTTTCTTTTAGCACGAGTAGACTGTCCCAGGAGCTACTTTTTTGGATATGTTAACTCTTTGGTTGATGACACAGTTGCAGGACAAAATTTACAACTTAATTCTTTAGTTGGATGGTGCAACACTACACTGGTCGGCGTACTTGCCAAATACCTCGATGAACATCTCCCGCACCGATGGATTGGGCTAGCCGTGGACTATAACATGGCCCTTATCCAATGGCCAAGCAGAAGTCCTGACTTAAACCTTGTGATTTCTTCGTGTGTGTGGGGGGGAGTATTTAAAAGATAAGGTATTCGTGCCTTCCCTTCCTATCGATCTAGCGGAGCTGAAACAGGGTATCACAGCCGATAGACTTGATTTTAATACCTTAACAGGCATCGGGGGGGGGATTGATTACCGGCTTGATGTGTGCTGTTGTTATATATGGCGACAGTCCCTGCTGGACGGGACTTTCTAAGAAGCGAGATTTCTGGTAGCACTGGTTTAAAAAGGAGGATTCCTAAAAAAAAAGAGCCCGATGGAAGCGAAATCCCCCCTAGCTATGGAAACGATGTTGCAGCTACCCGGGATCTTTTCAAACCTCACCGAAAATGTTTCGGCTGGGGCTGGAGCTCTGTTCCCTGTACAGATCAACTAATCAGACGAAAGTTCTGCTTTTGAAGTATCACGTGATCCCAATCTGAGCGATAATCGATTACTGTTTTGCGTTCAAGTCTTAAGTGATAATGGTAATCTAACTACATGGGTTTCCTGGAAATGTGCGGTTTTTGAGAATTGTCTCTTTCGATGCCAAGTCCCACGTAGCCGAAACATAATGTGATTGGGACCTAAGGGTTGAAACATAGAACATCTGTGACTGTCTCTAACAAGACTTAAAAATAATCCCATACAATTCTGTTACATATAACATATAATATTCTGTTACATATAACATATAATATATAACATATATTGTTCTTGATTTATAGTGCATTGAAACTGTATAATTCTTTATGAACCACTCTGTATATGAAACACAAGTAAATATATGAAATGAAAACGTAAAATACAGTCCAGTGATCTCAAACTGGCGCTCCGAAGCAGTTTTATGCGGCCCATGAATACATTTCAGTTATGTATTTGCTGTAAATACTGTGCCAAAAATTTACAGATGGATAAAATTACGGAAACAGTAACAAAAGTAGTAATCCTGATACGAGGATGAGCTCTGAATCTTCGAGTTTATTGCATTCCTTAAAGAGAGTGAGTTCAGAGAAAGTTTTATTATAATAAGGTGAGATGTTTAAGTGAAAGAACTGTATTAAAACAGTTTTTTTAATTTAATAAATGAAATCAAAATTTTAACAACACAAAATAAATAAACAAAAGCATCTGTGAAATTTAAAATCATAATACATGAAAACAGATTTAGAACATTCTGAATGACTTAACCAGACATTTAATGATAAATTTATTTTTTCCGTACAATTCTTTATTTAGAATTTAAATATTCTAAATAAAGAATTGTACGGAAAAAATAAATTTATCATTCACATTTATTGCTTGTATCAAAACTTTTATAGTTAGTTTGCAGTTAAGGGAAACACAACTTAAATCAAAATATTTCATAAATTTCCTACATCTTAAATCCTGTGCTATTATTTCAAATGGAAAATCTCAAAAATATATAAGAATAGCATTATTAGTACAAGAGTTTGAAGAAAGGTGCATTAATTTTAATGATTTGCAGTCTAATTTTGTTTTATTCTCGTTACCATTAAAACGAACGTAAATAACTCAACAGAAAAGTCTACATTTGGTGCTAGTTAATTTACCAGTGTAATATAAATGTTTTACAAGAATTTGAAGGTACAGATTGCATTAAATTTTAATGGTACTTGTGAAAAGATATATACCTTTAGTTATGAATTTTTTCAGTAAAAATAATCGCTTTGTTTGAATACATTTATACGTGGACAGACGTTTTCACAGTTGAAAACTAATATATCTATTTAATAAGAAAAGAACCCGAGGATCGATGAGCATCTATGATCCGTAATGAAGATAGTAATTTTTCTCCAGGAATAATAATAACAGCAAACTTCCAATAATTTGTCAACTTTATCAGAATTGAAATCTATCAAGTGTCAGTCTGTTTTATGAAGTAAAGAAGCTTATAATTATTTACAAACAAATATATATCTTTTTACATGAATGAAAGAAAAATTTAATAAATAGAAGAAAGAGCATTGTCATTGTTTATTCTCAAGGTTCTATGCCATTTCGAAAGTTTGAATGTTTTCTCAGGAAATTTGGG